GCTCTGGTACCACGTATACTTATGAGCATCCTTATGTTCGAACATGGTGTTTGTTATGGCCAATCCATGACTAGCACAGAAGTCCAGTAACAAACCACCACTCCGGTTCAGATCAGGGGGGCCGTTCCTCCCAATCACTCCCCTCCAAGTGTCTCCATCATTGCCCACATGTGCGTTGAAGTCTCCCAACAAGATTAAAGAGTCCCCTTCAGGAGCCCCATACAGGACTCTTTCCAGGGTCTCCAAGAAGGCCGTATACTCTGAACTGCTGTTGGGTGCATAAGCACACACAACAGTCAGAGTTTTCCCCCCCATAACCCGCAGGCGTAGGGAGGCGACCCTCTCGTCCACTGGGGTAAACTCCAACAACGAAGCACACAACCGGGGACTTGTGAGTATCCCCACACCCGCCCGGCGCCTCACACCTTGAGCAACTCCGGAGAAGAATAGAGTCCAACCCCTATCCAGAAGTAAGGTTCCAGAGCCGACGCTGTGCGTAGAGGTGAGCCCAACCAGGTCCAACTGGTAACGCTCCACTTCCCGCACAAGCTCCGACTCCTTCCCCCACAGAGAGGTGACGTTCCACGTCCCGAAAGCCAGCTTATTATTTTGATGATGTTGTTTTCATAATCGTTGCAAGCCAAAATCGTAATTGCGATTAAAATACGATGAATTGAGCAGCCCTAGTTTCTTCCCTCCAGCAGTCGTTGTTCCAAAATAAACAGTTTAAAGCAGTTGTTGGCTGTGATGCTTTTTAATTTTCTTTTTATTTAATTCTCTTTATTCATTGTAATCTGCTAATTACACACACGGCAGAAGGGAAGCCCGATGGCTGGTTAAACACCATGCATGTTTGTGATTTGGAAATATGAACACTGTATGGTCTCGTTCCCTGGATGCTGTTGTGAATTAAAACATTCACAGTTTTCACCCAAATAAAATGTTTGTCGTTGCGTTGCAAGCTACATTTACTGTAACTAGTGGTTTAATTACATTTTGCAGTAGCTTGCTGGTAATTCATAATGGCATAGTGATTAAAAAAGTAAAATGACTATTCTTTTTGCCATTTCTGTGTAGTAAACCACTTAAATAATGTAGGACTTTAAAAGAAAAAATTGTTTTAATATTGATTTTGTCTTACCATTGCCTCTAGTGAATTAGACTCTTTGATTGTTATAAAAAAGTATAAACAAATACTTTTAGAACCAGTGTTCAAGATGTTCATGAAGTCTAAAAAGGTAAAAACTAGGGGAGTAATTAAATGTTGTTGTTGATGTTTGTACTAGAAAAAGTAGTCAATATATTTTTAAACAATCATTTGTTCGGCAATATTTTCTGGTATTCAACTTTGTTGTCTATGAAGTGCTTTTTCGTCGTATGAAGTGCTTTTTCTATGTACCTTTAGTTAACCAAAACTACATTTAGAGTTACTTGGCTTTAGTTCATCTTCTCCCAGAGGGAAGTTATTGGTAGCTTACACAAATGAAGCTCAGCGCAAATTCAGGCAAGAAGACCTATCACTTCGTATTGCACGTCATGGCAATACTCTCTCCCTTCACTAAAGGATAGGGGAGCGCCACTCCTCAGGCTAACTATCACTTCCCCCGCATTCAACAAACTAATTATCCGCACCTGTTAATCCTCTATATATGCTCTCCCATTTCATCGCTTCTCCAGGTGTCAACGCGGCAACCCTCCTCCCACCACCTTCCCGCCCTCCCGGCTTCCCAAGCCTCAGGGCAAGCTTAACCCTTCTCCCTTTCTAACCGGACCTTAGACCACTTATCACCACCCACCCCAGTGTCCTAGACATGGGGTTCTCAAAGTGGGGGCGCGCCCCCCCCCAGGGGGGGCGCCAGAGGCATGACAGGGGGGGCGCGAGAGAGACCAGGAGGAAAAATGGTTAATATCATTTTTTTTTTTTTTAAAATATTTAATTTTTTTTTTTTTTAATTTTGGATTCCGAAAATAATATCATACAGTACATACGGTCTGGGTTCCTGTTGTTTCATTAAAAAGCTTGGCGCTCTGTGTGGTGGTTTTGGAACGACGCATTTTGTGTGCGTGCGCCAGCGAGAGAGAGAGAGAGAGTCGCACGGTACCAGAGATGTTGTTGTTAGCTTCCTTGGGTGCTAGCCGGAGCCTACCTAACGGATATAGGAGTTTTCCCTGCCGAGGAGAGTCTTTGCTGGAGAGACCTCAGTGACCTAAAGGACTCTCTCAGTGTTCTTTCCGTCGGTCTCAACGTTTGGGGCTTTCAACCAATTGGGCACACGTTTTTCTAAGTTATTGCTATTAAAAACAAGGTATGACACCTCTGCCATTAACGCTTAACCAAGGGTGTTGAAAATACCCAATAAAGAAAAAGTACATCTGTTTACAGTTCGTTCATATAGGTTGAGAGGATGTATCCCATAGAATCTCTTCATGTTGCTCCCTTCAAATGCAACCAGATTGAGGCTTTCAAACTTAAAATATTTAAAAACATAAATCTTTCCCGGGAGCTGCCCCAGACCCCCTATGTGAGGTCACACACCACCTATAATAGCCACTTACCCCCTGCTTACACCTATAATGCCGTGAGCCTGATTATCGATGCCTTCATTGTAACCAAGTCGCCGGAGTTTACGTGGGTACAGTAATGTGTGGGGAGTGTGGCAGTAGAAAATCACTGTAGCGCCCGAAATACAATATAATAAGAAGAAAACCCTCAATGTTTGAGCACCCTATATGAAACGCAAGCTACCCCAGCACCCCCCAAATAAAATCTCGGCGTCCACACCTGAGCCTGACTATTTGTGTTGGGGGGGGGCCCCGACTTCTTTTTTTCTCCAAAGGGGGGCCGACCAGAAAGTTTGAGAACCACTGGTCCTAAGCCAGAGGTTTCATCGGAAAGGTTCTTTCCCCTCCCGAAAATGATATCCTACAAAACCTGGCCTATCGCCAAAACACAT